CCATCTTGGTCTCCTACAATATTTTTCTTAAAGCTAGTAACAACAGCAAAAAAAAAAAAAAAAAAGCAGACTTATCATCTTGCTTTGTTATTTGTTCAGCAGGCATTCTTGAGTACCTCCTAGATGCCAACATTGTACTAGACAGGTTGTATATATAGCTAATTGCCACAGGAATTTGTGTGGCATAAAGGGAGTCCTCTACTTCTCTCATAAGGCAGGCTTTCTTCACCTAAGGCCTATACTAGTTGGTAACAGGAGGTGTATGTGCAGTTTGTCAGGAATGGAGTCTATAGCATACCAGACTCCAATCAGAGGAGTTCTTAACCCAACACCAGCAGTTTTCAGCTGGTGTGCCGCAAAACCTGTAATACCTGACTATTTAGTTAAAGGCATTGACATTTTTTCCCTTAGACTATCAAATAAAAAAATGACAACAGCCAACACATAGCTGTCTGATGTGAATGCTCTGTCTTGAACCATAAATATATAGGTCATATAATAAGCGTTGAGTTTTATTGGTCACGTCACATAATAAGGTTGTATCTGATTAATTCTTGGTACTTGATATCCTTACATACAATTATAAACACTTGATTTTTGAAAAAGTCACTTTGGAACAAAAAGGGTCAGATCGTCAAAAAAATAGTATGCCGCATAATTTTGGCAGTTAATTTGTGTGCCATGAAATGGAAAAGGTGGAAAGTTGCTTCCCTAGATAGTTTAAGAACTCTCTACCCTAAATATATTATTGATATAAGAGGTTTGCTGTTTTGTATTAGATTGGCATTTACTACTTTTTTAATTTCTTTTAAAATAATTTTTATTTATTGACCTTAGAGAGAAAGAAGGAAGAGAGAGCAAGAGAAAGAGAGAGAGACATCGATTTATTGTTCAACCCACCTAGGCATTTACTGGTTGCTTCCTATATGTGCCCTGACCGAGGATTGAACCTGAAACCCTGGTTTATTGGTACGATGCTCCAACCAACTGAGCTACCCAGCCAGGGCTGGCATTTACTATTTCTTAAACCTTGTTGTATAGCAGTTAATATTTTATGGAGCAAAGATCTGACAAAATTAATGATAAAGAGAAAAAAGGAGTGAAAAATGGAACATAACACAATGTATCATTTGGAGGGCTAGGGTAAGGCCTGTTAAGTAAATGGCCTGTTCCATCACCAAAAGAAGTAAACTCAAGAATGGGCTTCATTGACTTTAGTAGGGGAGTGTTGGGTCTGTAATATTATCTTTGTTTTCCTTACATCTCCAGGGAGGTCTTCAGGAAGTTGCTGATCAGTTAGATTTGCAGAGAATTGGAAGGCAGCATCAGGCAGGCTCAGACTCACTGCTGACAGGAATGGCATTCTTCAGGATGAAAGAGGTAAGGCAAGGAGATGGATGACCTTTGTGCGCTGAGGTTTGTTGAAATTTATAGTGTCTATTGGAATTTGATAACTACATTGAAAGCAGTTTTTTGTTTTTGTTTGTTATGTTCAATATATTAAATATAGTTTGGAAAGCAAAGAAGCATTCTGAAATGGAGGCCACTCAGCATGCCCAAATCTAAAAGAATATTTGGTGTTCCTAGCAGCTCTAATTGTTGTAATTATTTGTTTTTCTTCCAATTTCTATTATGTGAACACGTTTGGTAGACCACCCACTTATCCTACAGCTGACATCACAATCAGTAGCTCTAAGGTTAGGAACAAGACAAGGATGCTCACTCTTGCTACTTTTATTCAACATGGTATTGGCAGTTCTAGCTAGGACAGTTAGGCAAGAAAAATAAAAGGCATGTAGATCAAAAGAGGAAGTAAAACTCTATTTACAGACGACATGATATTATCTATGGAAAACTTAAAGATTTCACCAAAAAACTGTTAGAACTAATAAATTCAGTAAAGTTGCAGGATACTAGCCCTGGCAGGATAGCTCAGTTCATTAGAGCATTGTCCTGATACTTCAGGGTTGCAAGTTCAATCTCCAGATAGGGCACATACAAAAAGCAACCAATAAATGCATAAGCAAGTGGAACAACAAATCAGTGTCCCTCCCTCCCTCCCTCCCTCCCTCCCTCCTTCCCTTCCTCTCTCTCTCAAAATCAATTTAAAAAAAAAGTTGCAGGATGCAAAATTAATATACAGAATTCTATTGTTTCTTTACACTAATAATCAAATATAAAGAAATTAAAGAAAAAAAATCCCATTTATACTCAAAATCAATTAAAAAAAAAGTTGCAGGATGCAAAATCAATATACAGAATTCTATTGTTTCTTTACACTAATAATGAAATATAAAGAAATTAAAGAAAAAAAATCCCATTTATAATTGCATCACAAAGAATAAAATACCTTGGAATAAATTTAACCAAAGACCTGTACACTGAACACTATAAGACATTGATGAAAGAAATTGAAGATGACACAGATGAGTGGAAAAATAATCCGTGCTCATGGATTGGAAGAGTTAATATTGTTAAACTGTCCATACTACCCAAAGCAAAAATTCCAATGGCATTTTCCACAGAAATAGAGCAAACGATTCTAAAATTTACATGGAACCACAAAAAGATTCCAAATAGAGCAATCTTGAGAAAGAACAAAGCTGACAGCATCATTCTTCCTAATTTTGTCCCCCAAAGTACTTTTTGCAGTGTCTGGAGACATTTTGGTTGTCACAACCTGGGGGTTAGGCTTGAGGGGGCAGTGTGCTACTGGCCAGGGATGCTGCTACACATCCTACACTGGACAAGCCCCCCTGCACCCCAACAAAGTCATTCTGCCCAGTTGTGCCAGGGTTGAAATAATGTCCTGTTATAAGTGGTTAATGTCCATTATCTCACTCATGACAACCTGTTACAATATTACTGTTTTATAGATAGGGAACAGGGGCTTACGGAGAGTTGAAGTGACTTTCCTAAGGTCACACAGGAAGTCAGTCTGTAGAGCCCAAGCTCCTAACCATTGCACTGCCTGCTAAAGAGAAGGGACGAAATGGGACATTTGTACTTAAACAGCAGCAGCAGCACAGGGATCCTAGTAGTAAAAGAACTCATGGAAAATAGGTCCGTTCACAAAGGAGCATGGAAAGGTTTGGAACCTTTCTGTATGGAATTAATTTCTAGTTGGTTACATTTTGAGGGCTCTGAGAGAGCCGGGAAGTGCTGATGTGGTAGTACTGAGACTTGGCATGATTCTTACCACGGGTTCTCTGTCCCATTCTGCAGTTGTTTTTTGAGGACAGTATTGATGATGCCAAGTATTGTGGGCGGCTCTATGGCCTGGGCACGGGAGTGGCCCAGAAGCAGAATGAGGATGTGGACTCTGCCCAGGAGAAGATGAGCATCCTGGCGATCATCAACAACATGCAGCAGTGATGGTGGCGAGGCTCTGCGGAGCGGGCCGGCCCCAGAATGGTGCTCACTGTGCTGACTGTATACTTACCTTCCTCCCCAAGAGAAACCGCTACTTTTGAGCAAGCTGTACTTACCATCTCCACTGCGCAGAAGGACTTCTGTTTTACTAAAGACAAAGAAGTCTTTTAGATCCAGAAGAGGGCAGTTTTCTCTGAATTTGTAAACAAGTCTTATGTATTCCTCATCCCTAGGCCTCTTTTCCAGTTGCCTCCTGCCACCAGCATCCATGGCTCATTTGACACCTTTTTAAATACCCAGGACGAGTGAGAAACAAACTAGTAAAATGTATATAACTCTTACCTGTTGTCATTCTTTTTCTTTTAAATTTGTTGCTAATCTCTGAGGATGAAGACTTCTGATTCTCAGCTGAGCTGAGGGCTTCCAGGAAAAGTAGAACAAAATGGTATTCTTAAGTGTGGGTGATAGGTGTTGAGTCTTTTCCTTTTTTTTGACCCTTCTCCAGGACATTTGCTTTCCTCATGGAAATGAATTACATGCTCAGTGCTGAAATTTGAAGACCAGATAATAACTTACCTTAAAAAAAAAAAATTCTACTGAACCTGTCTACTCTTTATTCATAAGGAACACCAGAGTGGGCATTAAGTTAACCACTTAAGTGTCTTTATATCCTATTGTGCCACTGAGATTTGCTGTCACATGTGCATCATTTGAAATCACTTTATGTTTTCATATAACAAAATCACAGATTTGAGAAATTAGTTAAGATCAGATTTTTGAATCCTAAGTCTGTTGTGATTTCAGATGGGCATTTGTATTCCCCCACCTCTCTTCTCTGTTTTCCGCTTTTCCTTTTAGCAAACCTGAGAAGTTAGGGAGATGGATTAATGTGAGTACCAGAAATGTGAATCTTCAAAAAGTTTTAGTAGTTCATATAAACAGGGCAGTAAGGAATTTGTTTTACAGAGTTCTCGTGGAGTAATATCCCACAACTGGGGTAGAAAGCTCAGGACTGTGATTTTTTCCCCCCAAAACTAGTCATTTAAAAAGTACACTGTATTTTTTTTTTTAAATGACAGTATGGACAATTTTGGAAACCCATTTGCAATGGTGGAAATGAAACTGGTAACTCACTGAAGTGGATGAATAGTCTTGCATTTTAAAAGCTTATAGAAAACTCAATTTGAAATGATTCAAAAATGTCAAGTATTATAAGCTGGTATTTAAGATGCTTGTAAATATATTTATGTTTTTAATTTTGTATAATAAAGATTTCTTTTTAACTACTGGCATGCGGGTTTGATCTTTTATAGCTATGAATTCCTGGCTCTAGAAATGGACATTTTAACGGTTGGTTACAGAGCATCTTGTCTAGCCCCAAAGTCTTGCCTCCGTTATCCACAAGTTGGCGCGCATACAGAAAGCTTCACTTTGAAGGAAGCTTTTAATGAGCAGCTGTGTAAGTGGAACACTTCACACTCGTCGCTGATTATTTGGCCTTACTTGGAAACCAGTTTTAACTCTATTTCCTGGGACCACTCATTATATATGTGGTGAATTAGCTTGTTAGTGAAATTCTTGCAGAAAAGTCATGAATCAGTTCAGTTGTTGGGAAAGAGTGTGCCTCGTAAACCCCACCCAACTGTCTAATTTTTATGTTCTAGCAACTGGGATATTATGGAAACATCTGTTCCTGACATTGTTCAACTATTTAACCAAAGAAAAGAACAGACCTCAAAAGAATTCTCATTAGTTTAAAAATAAATAAATACAAGAACAAGGGTTTGTAATTAATTAGTTTGTAGGGTCCATTATGCATGATCCAAAAGTCAGAGTCCAATAATCCAAAACTTACATATACAAAATTAGGAAGGAATATGCATTTTTCTTGGAAGATCATCTGTGGCTTCAATCTAATTCTCCTGTGATCCAAAAAAGATTAAGAACAACTGAAACTAATTTCTTTCTGAGCTATTTTGATCACCATCAAAACTGAAGGGATAAGACTCATTTGAGTTATTTGTTCTTCTAACACTTTAGTAAATAATTTTAAACAAGCAATTACATGAAACAAAACCAAGTTTTTGACCTAGGATAGACTCAACATGATGGGTGAGGCCTGTTTCACATTCAGTAGAAGTGTAGTTAGTAGTAGTAGAGTAGAAGGGGAGAAGAGCCCAAGTTAACAAAAAAAATTTAAAAATGATACCAATCGTCATGAACTACAGCAATTCTATCTCAAACAAGAACGACACTGTTTATGATGAGGGGAAGCATTTATAAAGGTAGCTTGTGTATAAGAACATAACACATGGACAATTAAAAGTTTCTCCTCTTTGGATGAAATCTACATAAGGCTTTAGAGATGACCAACAGTTACTCTTGCAGGTGTTCTAACAACTGCTGGCTTTTGATGATCATTTAGTAGGAAACCACAACTGAATCCAAAGTCAGATTGTTTTTAAGGGTAGAGTTGATTCAAACTTGACCCTCGTTTTGTATTATTTGGATCACTGCAAAAACATCTAAGGATCAGAGCAAATGCCTGGCAGAGATGAAAGGTGTCAAGACGTTTTGAATTTGATGCAATTTATTTTAAAGGTCCTTGAAAGTTCACGTGCAGAAGGTCTGGCAGTGTCTTTGGTAAACTTTAGTGCTGCCGTATTTCTGAAGCAGCTCTTGGGCCTGTTGCTGCATTTCCTGGGTCACGCTGCCAGGACACTGGGACCCGATGTGAAGCAGGACCAGGCAGCACTCCAGCACATCTGGGAAGGGCCAGGTCTGAAAGATGAGAGTGAAACAAGGAAGCATTTTCGAAAGAGCCACAAACACCTGCATAGAAGGCACCAGTAACTCAAAGTCTCAACTGACACTTCTCAGGCACAGCTGAGCCATTTCTCTCACGATGTTTTGTGAGAGAAGACAGGCAATGCCTTGTTCTTCATCAGTTACTCTAAGGAGATGATACTCAAAACTGGAATGTTTACTGGGACGTCCTTCTCCAACCAATACAATCTTCTAGAGCTCTACTCCAATTAATTTAAAAAGTGATGTTTCTATTACTACCAGGGCCACATCCAAATACACTTATCCATCTGTAAGCTATCAAATATATGACACTAATTTTACTTTACCTCCCAGTTACAAAATTTGTTAGGTTTCTCTGAAGACTGAGGTATAAAATTGCTTGTGTTGTCAACAATTCTACTCTCACAAAACATTTTAGCTAACCAAAGGCAACTAGATCCTAACTTTTAAGCACATTCAAATGTGTAGAGATTTCAGAAACTGAAAAGTAGATGATCTTAAAGAATTTGGTATAGTCAATTGATATTACAAAAAGTAATGTTTTACCAAATGAACTGCTATAAATCTTACCTTAACACTCTCAGGAAACTTAGCTATTCTCTCATTCGCCTCCGTAAGCCTTTTGGTTAATTCAGGTAGAGAAAGTGGCTCATTTTTCTCTTCTTTACTGGTAAATAATAATAAAAAGTATAAGTCATATTTGTCTTGCCCTGGGTAACTTTTATTTCAATTGCCTATGAATAAAATTCCCTTATCACCTGGGTCTTTATCTCCCATCTTTAAGAAAAGTTTAAGAGAAGGCAATTTAATATGTGACATAAAGTTTTCAAAATGCAATATTATTCCTTATCATATTCCAAATCCCCACTCCTTAGACACACAGCTCCAATGAAATACAGGACTCTTGGGGGATTCAATCTGCAGCCAAGAGCAGAGGGCCTAGCTTCATTTGGGGAATGGGTAGAGCCGGGCTCTTACTCATGGGGTGTATGGACGCACATTTTTCCTGGAAGAGTGTTAAGCTTCTCAAAGGAGGTCCTGTGATCTACAGGTTAAGAGCTACTGGGTTAGAGAACTTTTCAGTGTTTTTCTTGTTATTAAAACCAAACCTAAAGCTGCTTAGAGTGTTGTAGTTTATTGGAGAAGTAATTCAGAATTCTGAATCAAGATTTCAGTGGGAGTATTTTTAGAGCAATTAACATAGGGACGTTAAAGCTTCTTAATTTTAATTTGTAAAGTTAATAACAGCTTTAAGTTGGTCAGTATTGTAATTGCTATGTTTTTAGACCCTGTGCTGGGGGGCATAAGGTAAAAGGCACTCATCAGAATAACGAATCAATAACTTGATCACTGCAAACACCCATAGCAAAGTGCCTTATAATAATGCAAGCTCTACAGTGCCTGGTGATGGGCTCCTGTCATCCATCTGGTCCCTCTTTTCAACTGAAGTGATTAGGATGCTACAGCATCCGATCATTTGATTTCTCAGTTCGTGAGCAGTTCTGTGCACTACCCTCTTTGTGTATTTTTTTGTGATAGTACAGAACTAAACAATGGTTTTCATTAGTGATGCAATACATCTCATTTTACTGATTAATTTTTTGGGGAAACCTACTTAATGCACAAAAGTAGTATTTTACTATACTATTGTTATTAATAATTTTGTGATTTCATTTAATTCTTAAGCAAGGTAGGAGTTGGTACTCCCATTTATAGACAAGGGACCTAAAGCTCAGAGACATTGAGACTCTTGCCTGAGTTCACAGCAGGGCCAGGACTAGAACCCACGTTTGGCTCCAAAGCCTGTGTGCTCACCACTAAATCATGTTGCTTCCAAGTGTCCTGACCTATCTTGTCATGTATTGATTGTGCTGTGACTCTGTGAGAACCCAGGAGGGTATTTTTAATTCCATCGTGTATTGACTCAGTACTTACCCCAGGCTCTGAGGACTAGAGAGGGGCTGTTCGGCTTCCTGTTCAGGGTCATTTTTATTAGGACCATTCGCTGTGGGTTTGCAGAATTGACTCTTCTGGTGTCGGCGGATCATTTCTGCTAAGGTCTCCTGAACTTCAGCAACAGTTCTCTGTGAGTTTTGGAAACTGGCGTGCTTTTCTGAAAAAAGCTCCTTACAAGTGTTCAGCATTCGCTTACTTTCCTCTGTGAGTCTCATGTCTAGTTCTGGAGGCTTGCTTGGCTCTGGCTGAGGAGCTTGGGTGTCAGTTTCTTCAGAGCCGGCATCATCCAACTGCTGGCTTTGTTCAACAGAGGTTGTCCTTCTATGAGCAGCCCTTACCCAGACACTAGATTCAGGGCAAGGCCTGGAGAGAGACCACCAGAATTCATACAGACGCCCATAGATAAAAAAGGCCTCCAAACTTTTGAAAGCTGGTGTGGCAGGGGACTGAGGGTCACCCAGCTTGTCTCTTAGGTGATCACAGCCTAGGAAAAGAAGGAAAGGACTTGGGGTTGTGCATTTCTCTGTCTGCCAGAAATCTGGCCTCCTACCTGCATGTTGTTTCCTATCGCCTAAGA